TGGCCCCCTCACCCTTGGCTCCGCGTAGGACGAAACCGAACCCCTCGTTGTCCTTCTTCTGCAGCAAAACCGTCTTCTCCTTAATGATGTAGTCACTGCAAGAGATGGGGGGGGCGTCGGGGGGTTCAGGAGCGCTCGCTGCCCTGCCCCTGCCCCACACCGCAGCTACGGACCCTGCTGCACACCAGGGACACTGGCTGCAGTCTGGAGCCTTGCTGCATGCAGTGCACACGCACTGCAATTGCCCCCTCCCTGCATGCAGTGAACCTGCACTGCCATCGCCCCCTCCCTGCATGCAGTGAACCTGCACTGCCATCGGTCCTTCTCCACATGCACTGCGCTCGCCCTGCGATCACCCCTTCTCCACCTGCAGGGCGCTCACCCTGCGATCACCCCCTCTCTGTGTGCAGTGCACTTGCACTGCAAATGCAGGGAGCACAGTGTCCTCTGCAGGGACAGACCCCACACATCGCATGCTGGGAGCTCACACTGCGCTGACAGACCCCACATGCTGCATGCAGTGCACTCACAAGACCTCCCAGCTGTGTGCAGTGCCCTCTCACTGCAGTCACAGACCAGCGCAGTGTGCTCACACTGCAATCAGATGCCCCTCACTGGGTGCAGTGCACTCTAACTACAATCACAGATATCCACTGTGTGCAGAGAGTTTGCACAGCAATCGCAATCCCACCATGTTCCAATGACAGACCCCCCAACTCACACTACAATCACAGCCCCACACATGCGGTGTGCAGGGTGCTCTCAATGTGATCCCAGCCCCTCTCCGCACTGCATGCAGTGCCCTCGCCCTGAGACTGTAGGGAAGATGGTGTCCATGCTGCCCACTACTGGGCCAGAAGCAGTTGTGTGCAGGGCGCTGACACTGCACGTGGACACCATGTGCTGTATACAATGTGTTCACTGTCATCACAGAACCACACTGCAATCAGACACCCACTGGAATTACACGTCCCCCTCTGTTTGCAGGGTGCTTGCACTGAGATCAGAGATACCACACACAGCTTGCAGTGAAGCTCCCTGCGATCAGACCTCCCCGCTCCGCTCGATCACAGATACCAGACACGTTCTGCAGTGCGCATTCACTGCAATCACAGACCGTCCGCTGTGTGTTCCCACTGCAACCACAGATCCGAGGAGAGTCCAGTGAACTCTGCTATCACAAGACCTTCCCCTCTTCACTGCCTGCAGTGTGTTCTCACTGCTTCCAGGTCCCACGGCTAGCACGGCTCTCCCGGGGCACTGCCAGCCCACACTGGCATCACCCACCTTTAACTGCCAGCAGCCTCACCCCTAGGTGTGTCCCTAGGGGACCCCCGATCTGCATTTTCCTCCTGTTCGAGCAGGCCCCCAGGCAGCCACCTCCAACAGTGGTTGCACGTCCTATGCACTGACCCAGGCATACGTGTGACAGATCCCCCTCCAGCCCCCGAGACTTGTGCATTCTGGTATGTTCACACACACCCCTACCCCCGTGTAGGGCACACCAGGGCTGCCCAGAGGTGGGGGCAAGTGGAGCAATTTGCCCCGGGCCCTGGGCCCCACAGGGGCCCCCACGAGAATACAGTATTCTATAGTATTGCAACTTTTTTTTAATGGAAGGGGCCCTCAAAATTG